CGGAAGCTGGTAGGAAAACAGGAATGAGTATCTCTTCTCTGTCCTTCACCCCCGAAGATACTAATTGAGATTGTTCTACATTGAATTGACTGTGCAGCTTTACAGTAGCCACAAGATTTATGGGTTGCATAAAGTCGTCGTAGCAGACTGTTATATTTGGGTTTTCCTTATTTTATCTGGCTCCTCTCTTTGAAGCTGTTGCCTTTTGTTGGAATTGAGGTATTAATTGCAGTGGTTTGCTCGGCTCTTTTCGGAGCCAACACTTCGGTCCTTAATGTGTGTTTTTCTCTTGGTTGTGTTTTTTTTTTTTCTTTTTTCCTGACAAGAGTTGTACACACGGCTGCCATGATAATTTAGCTAGATATTCTTTTTAAAAACATCAGCAGTCTATGGAGGGAAGGCAGTAGGAAATGAGGTTTTGGGGAGGAGGATTAATTGAAGAGTGCCTTCTCCCTTTCTTTTAATTTCTCTTAAGATTGTTAAAGCTGTTATCACGGTTTTCCATGTTGGAATTTTTAATTAGTTCTATGACTTTGGGATTTATATGTAGATTTAGGCTGAAGTGCTCAGCCTGTGCTGAGATGTCACATATAAAAATGGACGTGCAGCCAAATCTTCAAAGCTGTTCTGCAGAATTGGAGGCATTTAGCCCTGGATGAGTCAGGCTGAGATAATGGTTTTACACTATACAGGTTTATTTCTATTAATTGTTCAGTAATGGTGTCTTTCCTGCTTTTTGTTTTTGAGGACTGCTTTGCTACATCTGGCCATTAACCTTCCCTTGCTCGGACGACACAAGGAAGCGAGGAAATACGTCCTAGTTTATGAGCAAAGCGTGAGGCTGGGAGGCCTGTACACTAGGAAACCATTTTGAATAACAACCCATAAGGAGCCTGAGCGTGAATCCCCTCTGCTACAAAATCTGTACCTCCTGCATTTCCTTCCCAAAATGAGAAGCCAGATGCTCAACTGATAAGTATGAAGCAGAATAGGAAAGAATTAGAAAATGCCAAAGGTTTTGCCTTTGAAGTGAGGCACTTTAAAACTGATCTTAGTTGAGAATTAAACCCACACATTCTTGAAACAATGACAAATTACATTTGTCTGACAAATCTGATCTTGCTCAGCCACGTCTGAGGGAGATTAGCTTTGAGCAGTGTGACAGAAGCAGCTGCTCCAGTGGGGGCAATTCTGCGAACGCTTGAACATGCGGCTGAGAAGACAGACTCGCTCGGGCTACGTTTTCTTTGCCTCAGTAGCACATGCAGTAAACAAAGAGAAAATGAAAAAGCTCCGATTTTCCACTTGGGAGGAAGGAATTTTTCAGCAGTTGGGTTTTTCCCCCCCTCCCCATGTCACAACTTAAGCACCTGTGGAATGGTCGAGGCAGCATCTTCCATTCCGTGGGTGGCTCCAAAGCTGTCCCGTGGAGGGGAGGGTGCTTTGGGAGCGCCGCGGATAACGTGCGCAGTAGCTGTGAGTTCGTGTCAGAGTACCCCTTTGTAACCAGGGCGATGGAAAATTTTGGAGCAAGAGGTCAGCTGTATAGCTTCTCAGTGCCAGGGATTCTCTAAGATATCAAAGTTGTAAATGTGAGGCTAGATAGTTTACATGATAGTGATTTATGACTGTTGACATATCCTCTGTTCAAGCTGTGTGCTATTCATGTTTGTGTTTGTTTTTAATGGGGAATGTTTAAAAATGGATAAATACTACTTTTGTCTGGTCAAGAGATGTAGAGGGGAAAAACAATACTTATAAAGGATGTTTTGTTTTTAGACACTGTTGAATCCTCTCTCTTCTTGCTTCCTAAGAAGAAAAAAAAACCCACCAAAATCCAACAAAAAAAAAAAAGAGAAAGAAAATGCAACTGTGGTGGTTGCAGTGAAGCCAAACTGGAATCTATTTATAAGTGACCATGGGAGAGACACAGTACGATTGCACTCAGTCTGTGTCTCCTCTTCCCACCTCTGAAAAGTGTAGTAATTTCTGGCATCTGTGAAGCAAAAGTTGGTTTACAAATAAAGGCTTTTGGACTTTACAGTTAAAAA